GAAAGCAAGGGTGTCCCCTTACCAAGACTGCGGAGGATTTTGTTCATTCCAGTTGGCTCCATCTCTGGAATACTCTCCAAATACTCCAAGGCACGGACCTCAAAAAGGCCTAAAGAGAAAAAAAAAAAAAAAAAAAAAAAAATCAACAGAAAGCAAGGGTGTCCCCTTACCAAGACTGCGGAGGATTTTGTTCATTCCAGTTGGCTCCATCTCTGGAATACTCTCCAAATACTCCAAGGCACGGACCTCAAAAAGGCCTAAAGAGAAAAAAAAAATTAAAATTACTCACTGCGATGAGCTATTCTATCTGTTAGCATATGGGATCTTATTAACAAGGAGGTTACAAAAAGGAAATCATGCATGTAATGTGAGCTGCAGGATCATGCCCAGAAAGGAGAGAGATGCAAAAATTCTTTGCTTTGTAAGATGAATTTTGTTGAGTAATTAGAAGGGCACAGAGCTATTACATAGGCCAAAATGCCAACAGGATAACTTGCCAGGACAAAAGGCTTCTTAAGAGTCAAAGTCACATGCCATTATATTTTGAAAGCGAGTTTGTAAAACAAGAAAGATCAAACCTCACCTTTGACCACATTCTTATTTAGCTCTCGATCCTGTATGAACCCTGCAAACATCTGCGTTTCCATGAAGAAGTGCAAGAAATGACGCACATTGCGTGACACGTGAGATTTACGGAACAGTTCCCGCTGAAACACCCGCTCCCCTTTTTCTGTGACATCCATGTGCAGGGAGTAGTGTCCGACAATCTCCACAAAGAACTGCACAAAAGCTTCAGAGACCAGGGCATTAAGAGGCGCATCACCTGTGAAGAGGACAACAGAGGAGGAATTTCCCTCTACATTCATCAATTTGGTCATTCCTCTTCTGCAAGACGAGCAGCAGTTTGCAGGCTGGCTGCCCCAGATGAGTGTTTGGTATCAAAGACGCCACAGCTCCAATACCAAGATTTCTCTTCCACGTCAACTTTCTGCTGCAGCTGAGACAAGTTCCATTCTGAAGCTTTTCCGTTAGCTAAAGCATTCATCGTTTCTTTTCCCTGTCAAACTTCTAGTGTCTAATGAGCTGTAAGCTCATAACAGTCTAATTCTCTTAAAGAATTAGGGAAATTACACAACACAAACCCACTGGAAAACTAACTTTGTTCCTTCTGAAGGACATGGAATTACAGAATTTGCTGATGCCATTCTCTTAAGCTACTTGATGCTTTTCAAAATTCTCGCACTTATTTATCTGATTATGTATAAACTTTGAAAATTACCCTCTAAAGCACAGACACTTGCTGCATTCTCTGTTTAAGAAAAACATTCTCTGCCCCTTAAGAACAATCAAAGAAAACTCAAAGCATGGGAAATGATGCACTTGGCCCCAGGAAGACTAGAGCTCTGCACACACTGACTGTGAAACGAGGAACGAAGCTAAGACACCAAGCTTCCACAAGAAAGATGTCCTCGGTAAGATCACAGGAAAGCAGCTTTCTAAAATGTCACCTCCTAAGGTTTATTTCCATTCCCTCATTTTTATGTCAACCACATGGAAGCTGTAGAGATTTGCTAACGTGAAAACACCTTTCCACAGACGCACCTTGTGTGTCACTCTGCTCGTGTGACAAGATTTCATGTCGTTCTTCCAAGATTTGTACAAGTGCAGCCTGGAGTTTATGAGGCAGGATCTCATCTTCATCTGATACCTAAAGAGACAAATGGCCATGAAAGCATTGTTGTGTGCAGCAGCATCAGCAGAACCTTCTCGCTGCGAACAGATGGGAAATACTCGTAACATGCCTACAGCAGCTAGAGGGAGGTTACTCTGTGATATGGTGCATCTTGGTGGAGACATTTGTCTTGTAGCCACAGAAATGAAAAACGTTTGCTCAGCACCCTCTGACTACGTACTATTAGTCACACACACAACTGGCCAACACAGAACAACATGCACTATATCCACAACACAGACTCAGGCTGATTGTACCGGTGATAAAACACAAAAGAACAACAAAGCCCGCTGAGAAAATATGACAAGTCTCAACATTATGGTTAAAACCCCTGATCCTTTAATACCTTTCTCCAGATGCAGGCTGCAATGCAAAACAGAACAGTAAGGCAAGGAAAAGGAGCTGCAAATACCCTCCTGAATGAGTAATGCTCCAGTATGTTCATAGCTACTTGTCTGGTGACAGAGGAGCACATTAGGTAAAGTTCAGCAGAGAACCACAAGTGAACTCTGCTAATTTGTCTCCTAGAGCATCACTCCTGGGGAAAAAAAAAAAAAAAACCAAACAAAAAACCAACCAAACCCAACAAACACACCCCAGCTAGATGAGAGAGGAGAAAGCCCTGTAGAGAACAAGTACACAGGAAAGACAGCCAGAGAGCAGCAAATATCTTAGCGGTCCACTTCACATAATGAACCAACTAAGTGGCTGTTTCTCAGTTCAGCTCAGATAAGCAGCACCTTTGGCTTCGCAGAGCTCTGTACCTCATGCAACCTCCATCTTGCAACATGGATTTGCAAGTCTGTTCCCTTCTCTATTGATCAAAAAGGAAGGCGAGGTATTTCTTCAGCCACCGGAGCCTACATATAGGCTGGCTTATACACTAGCTGATGCCGATTTCTTGTTGTCATTTTCTTTGACTGACGCCTTTTCCTGGCATACAACCATGAGTGACTGGTACTGTTATTTCACTCACCTCTTGCAAGAACTTGTCAGCACAAAGATCAACAATCAGAACCTGGGGAAAGATGTACAAAAGACACTGACTCTTATAACCAGGTATGTTGCTGGACAGAAAAAAACCCTTTTTTTAAATTATTTTCAAATGTCCCCAGTGGCAGGGGATGCCACAAGTGCAACCCAAGCGTTGCATAACTGCAGCCTCTCCATAAGAACAGTGAATACTATTTATCTTTGATAACGATGGAGTGCCCTGGCATGTATCTGGCAAGTTCACCAACTGTCTCAGAAAAGTTTAAGTGTTTATACTATGACAGAATCCACAGAGATGATTCCAGAGAGTTCAGCCTCATACCACTGACACTGTCCCGCCACTGTGCTTCACCCAATTCTCACCTCTTCTACGGGCAGGTCCTGGAGCTGTGGTAACGAGCAGGAGAGAATGCCAATTAAGAATGGGGTCGGAGAGCACACAATATCGATCATAGAAGTTGGTAGGACGGGTATGTAGGTGTGTTGCCAAGTGAAGGGATAAAGCGTTGCCACTGCGGCGTGGCCACATTTAGACAGCGTGCTATAAAGGTAAGAGAAGCAGAGTGGATTGTCAACGTCTCGTTCAGAACTCAGCTACAGACACAGGTTAGAAATGCTCGGGGAACGTGTAATTCGTGTACATTGTTTACGCATCAGCAGGAGCCCCATGCAGCCATTTTTAAAGTCAGTTATGGGGAGCTAACAATAGCATCAACCCAGGCTAAAGAGGCAAAGGAAACATTCCCTTATCTCCTCTTGGGTAAAGAGCACACTCCAAATTCTAAGCATGCACGTGTTGTGGGGAAAGTCTGCATAAAGCTTTTAAATGTAACTATTTACAAGAAGTCAGGCAAGCTTGCACATGAAACAGGCCCAAAGGCAGAAGAAAAAACAGTATCCCTCCAAAAGAACGAGTCATTCAGACTCATTTTTTACCTTAAGTTGTCAGCAACAAAGATCACCCTCCTTTCCAGCAGGAGAGAGGCGAAGACCCGAATTGTGTGAGAGACACTTAGACAATTAAACAGACATTCAAAGTCAACATGTTCGAGTCGAGAATCCAACGGACGGCGGAGTTCCATCACCTGAGAGGCAAGCAGAGATGCAGAGCACTGGAGGAGGAAGCCAGAGGGCAGTCGGGCCGGACGAGGGGCAGCCTGGCTGGAGCGCAGAACTTGTGGCTCCTCACAAGTGGAACCCCACGGCCTGGGCAGTTGGCATAGGGCATGGCAGAGGGCTCCCAAGCAGCTCTTCCTTAAAAAGCAGGGAATCACTTCTACTGTAGATGATTCAACAGGAAGCCAGTTTCTGCGACAGCCTCCCTTTGGACTTTAAGACATTATCTTCCGACTAAGTATTTACAGGCGGCATCACTCTAGAGCACAGCTGCAAAGTGCCACTATGCCCCAGAGACATCATCGACACAGGAAAGCCCGTCCTGATTTCTGTTACCTCATTTCCTGCTCCTGGCAGGAAACTCCTCACAGTAATCGTGCGTCCAGGAGCAGGGAAGGGCGCCTCCATTACACTACGCATAAATGGGTGTACCAGGGCTGGGGACATCTCTCGCCTCTTCTCCACTTCATCTAAAATCTGCAAGAAAATACATCAGATATCGGTTCAATGCCAGGGGAGATGGGAGCCTCTGTTAGAGTATCCCATGCCACAACTACATGTGAAGGCTGCAACGCAGTCATAGCCCTCTCCCCCTTTGCTTGGGATCCCTGTGAAAGCTCCTCTCAAATGTCTGAACAATCAAATGGGAATAGATACATGTGAGCACAGCTCTCCATTCTCAAATCCAGTCTCCTGCCACTGTGAAGAAATGCCTTGTATGTGGCAATCAAATTCTCACAACTAGTTAGAGCAGGAAGAGCAACACCCCATAGTCCTCCCCAAGAAAAAATTTTCTGAAACTCTATTCTAGAAACTGTGCACTAGCAATGAGAAATCGGCTTTCACCATAAGCTTGCCCCTGTATTCTTCTGCAATAGCTGCCCTTCACCTGCAGTAGCTTTCCCCAGTCTTTACCTCTTTATCTACTCTCCTCATGGTGCTAGGAGAAACAAGCCAGGATCTCCTCGCCACCCCCACCCCTCCCGAAGAGGATGAAGGGGCACCATCAGTAATATCAGGTATTAGAAGCCACTTCCTGACGATAATTTGCTGAAGGAATACTCATCTGTGTGTCAGCTGACAAATCTCAGCACTAGTATCATTTTATTTGCCCTGTCAAAGCAAAGGCAGCAAGGAGGCACCACTCTCCTGGGATGAGTTATAATCGCTAAGCAATTCCAGACTGGAGAGAGCATCCAGCTACTGGAGCTTGCAGGCTGTCAGACACTTAAGTCCGATAAGAAGTTACAGGCTTTCCCCACTTCACCTTGGAGAAGAGGTTGAAGCAGCCCAGGCGGCTAACGATGCAGTATACCTCTGGAAGGCGCTTCCCTTTCCCCTCCGGCTGAAAGGCAACAGGAACAGTTATGCTGAGAACAGGGATGCAATGAAGAACCTAGCACCTGCACCGTAGCTGATTTGCAGAACTCCTTCTGTTGTAGTTCCCTCTATGCTTCTGACTTCAAAGATCCTTGAGGAACGACCAGTTCCAGGAGCTGTCTTTCACGCCCAGAGCCCATTTCAGTCTATGCTGGGCATCATCACACTCCTTCCCCTAGGCACGCAAAGGGCTCAGCAGCAGCACAGGCGCTACATAACCCACATGGGAAATTACTGCTGATTCACGTCCTGCACTTGACTGTCCATTTATCAATGCAAACTTTACACTCCACCCGATACACAGATGCTTACCAGGAGCTTCTTGCAGTACCCAAACCAGCGTCCGCCATCCTCACCCGTCAACACAAAAGAAAATGTTTCACTGGGGAACCAAAGAACAGTCAGGGTTAAATTCACCATGCACGTCAGAGAAGAGACTGACAGAGAAAGCACACATACTACAAGCCATTCTCTTTCTGGTCTTGCTGAAGACCCCCTGCTGTGGTTAGCAAACTACTTCAGCCCCATTCAGCGTAAAAACCTGCAGCCCATGGACTCTCACTGAGCTACTACAGCTCTCTTCCTTCTCAGCTGCTTCTCCATCGCTTCTCCAAGGAGCAACAGAAGCACTTGCCAGCCCCGGGAGCTGGCCCTGAACAGATGTTACAAATGCCCTTCCCACAGGAAAGATGGCGATCGGGCAGAAGCAGCACTTCTGAGTTTGCCTACGTGTTTCATCTTCCCCTATCACAGGGGACTCAGCCTTATCCATTTTTCCTTGCTCCGGCCGCAGTTCCTGTGGTCCAGGAAACTGGCACATACCTAAGCTTTCAGCATTGCCTGTTCCAGGCATGAGTATTCAAAACCAAGTCTTTACCTTTTAAGGTCTGATGCAGGAAACCAGTCTTTGGGATCTGGAAAGCAGAATCTGGGAATGACCTTTAGCCTCTCCTCAGTATCCTTTGACTGTCTGAAGGGATGTTCAGGCTGGAGGGGTAACACATGCATTTGAAGTCACACTGAAGTGCGGTGCACAGCTGCAGCATTTAAAACAACAGGAGGTGGTATCTTCCTGACAACTCCAAATGCTGAACCATCAGGTAGCTAATGCACAAGTACAGGAGAACATTCTGACTGTAACAGACTCCCAGCTCCCTCTTGCACCTTTCCTGCCAACTGGACATTTGTAAAATTACCCAGCTGGTCTTGGTAAGAACTGAGTAATGATTTATAAGCATGGCCAAGTTTATTGGGGGATGAAGCTAGAACCTACCCTCCAAATGAGGGCTGTGTCAGCTTGCTTCAGGTCTGTTCCTAGGAGGTTTGAAGACAGTAAGAGGCAGCTTGTGATCTGCAGATCACTCACCACTCAATTACAAAAACAGTGTTTCTGAATTGCACGTTCCAGTTGCCATGTGTGGGCTCAAGGCAAATCCCTCAAAGACTACAGGACAACTTTCCATGCTCAAAACTGCCCAGAAGGGGCAAAAGGAAAGTTTTCAAATAAGAAAGATCCCATTTAAGTAGGAAATACCCCTGAAAAAAGCAAAGTTTATTGCGTAAAGCTGATTTTAGACACTGCACTCTCAGTCAGGGCATCTAAGCTATTCCAGCGTCCCAAGCTGTGACAGCACGAAGGAACAGTTAGGAAAACAGTACAGCATTTTCACAGAGTAACAGTTGTACAAAAGCTTTGATGTCCTCGGGCATGCAGCCCAAAGAAGAGGGTGACAAACAGATTACTTGGAAGCAAGGCTATTTTTAGAAGGGAGACAAATCTGTAATCAGAACACCTCTATAATTACTGGGCAACATTTCCTGCAAAATCCCAACATGACAGAACTGTCCTGTACAAAGTCACCAAAACACTTGACTTCGAGCAGAGGGTAAATAAACAAATTATTTGGTTTATTAGGGCATTTATAAAAGCCAGTGAAGAGCCACATGGTACAGTTGGGTCTGACTGTCTGCTAGGGCAGCAGGAATAGAACAACGCACTCAGGAATAGAACAACGCACTGCCCTTGCGGATTGAGAGGTTGCATCAGGGAAAAGCTAAATCTGGTTACATTCCTTTCTTCCTCCTAACACCCTAAAGTCGGCACTTTTAGCAGATATTGTTTATGTATATTCAGTTTTACCCACTAAATTAAGACCTTGCACTCTTTCTGGCTGTAGGCCCTTATTCATTTTGTGAATCCAAAACATTTACACATTTAAGACACTAGAGTTATTTGTACATAAATCCCTTATGCAGCTGGACACTATGGGTCCTGCTGGAGTCCCGCATAACTCCCTTCATGAATCTGACATCTCCTTCTCCATTTGGATGACATGCAGATTCCTTCATAATCTCTGGTTTATTCCTGACAGCACAGCTAGAGTTACTAGTTTTGTTCTGGTTTTCAGTGGAAGGCATCAGGTACAAGTGACAGTGACAACTGAATATTCATTTCCATCTGGAACCACAGAAGCAAGCACCAAGGCTCCACCCGCTCAGCTTCACAGTAACTACCGGGTACGCCGAGTCATAACTCAGCGTCACACACGAACCTTGTCGTCCATTTGGGCTGAACAGACAGAAAGCAAGCTTATTTCAAATGGCTTGTTCGAGCTACAGCACTTGAACTTCCACAGTTCTCTTCTGCTTTTTGGGGACTAGTACACATGGCTTTGCCATTTTTATTGTTTTTTTTTCCCAGAACAGTATAAATAAGCATAAAAGCCCTGGGATTCTAGTTCCTGTGCACCATCAGCCAAGTTGCTTCACTCCTTGCTTATAAATCACAGACTACCATGCCAGTTTTGGGAACAGAGCACTGCACTCCCTTTCCCCTCCTGCCTCAGCAGTCTATCACGATACAGTATGGCTTTATGAAATTTCCAGGCAATGAGAATTAGAGTAGGAGCCTTCCTAGTTCCAAAAATAAATAAAAAAAAGACAGTAAACTCATTATGAAAAAAGATATTCAACAACTGCCCAATGCCATATATGAGGTCTGCAAGAGAGCAAGGCACTTCACACGCCAAGCCTGTATCCTAACCAGTGGGACAGCTTTACTCGTATGGAGTTTGGGAGGGGATACGCACCGCAAGAGGAAATAAACAGCTGGCGAGTGCGTTTTGTGGGCAGGTTTCCCTGCAGCTCCTACCTTGCTGGGAAACTGCTGTATGATCTGTGGTGTGTACGTCATCTCAGATGCCTTCTTGTGCAGCGACACCACCACAAACAGCTCAAATAGCCGCTGCTCCTGAAGCTCTATCAAATCCCTCTCCAGGGTCTGGTAGCGTGAGTTCCTCTTGGAGGCTGACTGTACCTGCAGCTGGCACCTCTGCCGACCTGAAGAAAGGAACAAACCACAAACCAGCCTGTGGCTATCACTGCCACACTCCTCGAGGTCACTCAAGAGGACTTTAGAAGGGGAAGAAGAGACGGGTGCGTTTGCCCGACATCACCGCTGCGCTCCACAGAACTTGGACTCCTGGGTCAGCGGCCCCAGCACAGAGCTGCTCCAGACAGGGGAGCACTGGCCTTGCAGCAGCTCTGCAAATCCTTCCTGACCGACAGCTACCATTCTCCTGCTGTCCTGGCATTTCTCCCACACAGCTTGGAGCAGCACGTCATGGTAACGATGAGGGAAGCCCAGCTCCACCAGTTCAGTAATTGCCAGGCCTCAGGCAGCTACTCTGGTAAAGCAGCATGGGCATTCACAGAATCGTCACAGAATGATTCTGGTAAAGCAGCACGGGCATTCAAGTGAGGCGGAGCCAGTTTCCTGGCCAAGAAACCTCCAGGCTGGGACATCTTGACAGGCAGTACAGACACAGGCACAGCACTCTGATGTAAGAAAATTCCTGCAGCCCAGGCATCTGACACATTCTGGACACTTTGGAAACAACTCTTAAATCAGACAGTGACTCAGTCGCTGTATTTCTGCAGAGACCCTTCACTCTCCATTACTCTCCTTAACATAAAAAAGTGGAACTTCACTACTTGCTCCAAGTCAAGGCCTTCTGTGTGCTTCCCTCCAAGTAAATGAAATGTCTAAAATAATCCCATCGGTCCTTCTCTCTAGATACTTGCTTAGAGGCATGACAGAGTCACTCATCAGGGCTGCTGGCCAACCATCACCATTTTGCATTCAAACCTTACCAGCATAGAAACTAAGACCTCTTGGGTCCTTCCCAGACCAGCTAAAATCAAGTAGGTATTTCAAGTCTGTAGTTTGGGCCTATGATCAAACTCAGGACTGTGGAACCAGAGAAATAACCAAATGATTTCTCCCCAGAGGAAAGGGCATTTCACAACATTACACATATAAAACAGAACCAATGGATGGAAGTAGGGGGAAAATAACCTCAAGTGTTAGCAGCAAAGGTGATCCAGGGACAATCTCCTGCAAGACATATTTTAGTTAATTGTGACTCTACCAACCCAAAAATGAATCTACTTCTAGCAACTGGCAGATTAATGGCATTAAACCTCAAGGGCTCAGAAGAAGCAGTAGAAACAGAGGTTGATTTGTCACAGCAACAGCTCCCAGCCTTGGCCACGCTGCCTCGCAGATGATCCCTTTCTCTGTCTTGCCAGAAGCCACAACTAGTCATTGTGTTCATCCCATTAGAGCCTTAGACAAATATGTAGTGCTATGGGGGCAGGACCAGCCCCAGCCCCTGTGATTCACTCACTTTTTGGCTGATTTTCCGTATCGCTTTCATTCCCACTGGTTTCACCTGAAACACACACAGTTTTCACTTATTAGCCATGCAGAAGGAAGATGGGCAACACCCAACATTGGGAAAGAGAGAGAACTTCAGACTCATCAGACCAACGTCACTCAGGGCTGCCCACCTATCCCGCTCAAACCATCAGCAAAGAACAGCCAGTACTGGCAAATGTGCTACAACCCTAAATTTCAAAAAGCAGAGTTAATATCAAGTCACTGTTTCCTGTAAACCACCTGTAGGTCAGCTGAACACAGGCAAAGAACAGAAACCAGGCAGCTATTTGATGCTGCTATAGAAGTTAACAGAGTTGCTGAACAGAACATACTATAAATAAAGACCATGTCATGGCTACAAAATCAGAAGAACACAAGTATATAACATTAGGGGCATAAAAGCGATGACTGGAGTAGCCAGAGGCAGTTCTCGTGCCAAGTGGTTTTGTGGGGAATTTTTGGGTTTGTTCTGCTTTTTTGAAAAAGCTCTTTTAACCAGGAGCCCAGCTCTTCAGGCTCAGATCATAGGGGAATCTTCCATTTGTGACAGTGTTAAACTTGGCTTAGGCACGTGTTCCGAATCCTAGCAGTGCTGAAAGCTCAACAATGCCAGCTGCAGGACAAGGGGTTTAGCACCGTTGAGTCAGCCCAGCATGAACTGCAGGAGGTGGCAGTACCTGGCCTGCTATCAGTCCCCAAGGATGTACAGGAACCACGCTGCTCAAGAGGTTTATAGCAAAGAGAACGGTGCTGGAGACCTCTATACCTTTCACTGGCGGCGCTTCTCTCCCAGCAGGACTAGGCAACTTCACCCTCTTCTTTCCACGCTTAGAATCAAAGATCTCCTGTATTTTTAGTACCAGCTGAAATCCAAAGCAGAAGCAGAGGTTAATGTGGGGGCCCAGAAAAAAAGGGTCCAGGTGCCAACAGGACTACAGCCCAACAGCTATCATCTAGCACCACAACAGTTGGGAAATGCTCCCCAAGTCCCGCCAGGGATCCTGGTGCAGACACTGCTTGCTAGAGCACTTTTAGCACAGCTCCCTGGATAATGAAGGAGCACAGAATTTCTGCTACAGGAGATAGATTACTGTCAGTACCACCCAAAGCTGACACCAAACTGTACGAGCATTCTGGAAGTTATCACATTTTGCTTACCAAACAGATAGCAGAAGTGGCAAGTTGTCTGGCCTCAGATCTCCATTTCCTATTAGAGAGGCCAACTGCAAAGGCACTTGCAAGAAGATCTTATAAACCCTTCACCACAAAGGACTCTGAACTTCGCGTGCTCTCAAGCACCCCAGTTCTTCCCAAACCCAGAAAAAGCAGAGCTCTCTCAGTGTAGCTTGGGGTTTGTTTTCTGTTTATTTGCTTTGGTTTTTAAGTTTACTGCTGCAGTTGGATATCAGACAGCTAGAGTAAGTTCTCCAAAGCACCATGTCAGCACAGAACAAGGCTGCTCTAAGCACAGTCCTTGCCCCAGGGTGGTTTGCTAAAATGAAAAGATTATGTACTTTCATTCTGCACAGGTGAGGACAGACAGTTGGGCAGAATAATGGGTCTGTACTGCAGGGACACCACAGACCTGGCCCACTGGAAGAAAAAATTTGGAAAAAAACGTAGCCCAGTGAAGACTAAGCTACAGGCATGAAAGAAGGGTCAGCATTTAGACACTCCAAGTTGGCGCCGTTAACTTTCCTTCCACCGGTCACAACAGCCTTCAAACCAAAGTCCTAATGCCTTCTGTTACTCCTGTCACAGGCCTCTCCGGAATCCCCCCTCAGCTGCCAGGGACAACGCTGCGGGTGGCTCCCCGGTGCTGCACGTCAAAGACGGATCAGTTCATTGTGAAGAAGGATTTACACTAAATGCAGTGAGCAGGTCGAGTCCATTCTTGTCCAAGAACTCATTAAATGCTCCCACTGAATGTAGGAGGGTGGGGCCCAGCCATTTGTCACCATAAATACTGCATAAAAAGGAAGATATTCAGCAAGAGAACCTGTTTTTCAGCTTAAGCCTTTATGCCCAGCTCATTAAACTAGGCTTAGGCTCTTCTTTTCAGATCTATTTCTCTCCATTTTCAGCGTTAGCCATTCCTCCTAGCACGATGAGGCCACAAGGAAGAAAACAGCCCACAGCAGGAAGCAGCGCTTTTCCTCCAAAATCTGCCTTCTTTCCCCTCTACCACCCGTCCTTACCTAGAGGATTTCCATTTCTATTCTGATTTTTGTGCAGCTGAGTCACCAGTGAAAGATTGGGTGTGTTTAAGACAGCTATGCATTTCTTAAGCAATAAGTATGTTGTTTTCTTTTTAGACTCCAGTCCTTTTCTCAATCTCTCAAGCTATCTTGGATCAATTCCTTGTGAGCAAAAAGAGTAAAGTGTGCTTCCTGCATGGAAATTGTTACCAGATTTTTGGAATAGGTTTGCTTTTGGAGAATGTTTTAGTTTCCCCCTCCAAATGAAAGATAGTCTCCATCACAGCATTTTTATAATCTTGCCACCTCCTTCCTGATTTTCCAGGCCTACAGTTTGTTTAAGAACACACACAGAAGTTTCTTGTTACTCTAAAGTACTTAACGTTTGAAAAGTATTTTGCAGCTGTCCAACTCTACCTCAGAGTCTCGTGCAATTTGAGCAAACACACCCAATTTTCACAAGAAATAAAGATCTGCCGAAGTTAAATTATTTTACCATGGCATAAGTAAGCTGTTGCCACTGCCACAACTGGAACTTGAGTCCTACGCACAAAGTGCCCCTGCAGTGGCAGCTGCAGCTGCCCTAGAGCACACGCCGCGTTTTGTCACCGACGGACATGAGCTGGTAATCAATACCAGTATCTAGAAAGATTCCCAATGCATCAAATGAGAATTATAACAGAGCCCTCTATTGCGAAGATGGATTAAAAGTCCTTCTCACTACTCTGGCCTCAGAAGCACATCTGCCCTTGCACCCAGGCAGGAGGGAGCGGCCAGAGGCAGCAGAGGGGAGAACTGTACGAAGGCTTTGCAAAATCCGCTTATCCCTAAAAGCTGCTCTTCGCCTTTAGACTACGAAACAGCTCCAAGGGTACGTTCCTGATGGCAAGTCAAGACCTCCAAGCCAACATGGCAAGTAACCAAGGGCCCACCACAGCAGCCCCACACTGTCAGCCATCTAACAACTCAGTGCCTGCAGCGAGAACGAAAGGGTCAGTCTGAGAAGCCACCCGGAGCAAGGAACACATGCACACAATTGTACAGAGCT